ATCCTTTGCCATTCCCTATCACTCCTCCCTGAGAGAGAGATGGATTGATTCAGTGACTGGGGTAATCGGGATGGGTGTGTCAGAGGCGGTGTGGTTGGCGCAGGATAGAGCAGGGTTTAGGGCTGTTGTGCATAGGGTCGCTATGAGTCGGAAAGGACTCGACGGCACATAAGAACAACAACAACAGCCCCACCCTTCGTTACATGGATGAAGCATCAATCCAGGCACTGTCTGGCCTGTGGCACTCTGGGGTCGGGCTGTAGCTGTTCCCTTAGTCGCAGGTGCGTGTGGAATCCTGCCACACTTCTTTGTGATGGTTGGCTTGGCGCCTCTTCATTTTTTCCTTGGTACCTAGTTTTTCACAAGTGCCTTCTATTTTCTTAAACAAAAGCACGATTGTTTCGCAGTCTGACTCTGATAATCTGACAGTCGAAGACTTTCTGAGACATTTGGGCATCAGTGGTCCTCACTCACAGCGCGTTTCTTTTTTTCGGTACATGGTTCATTGTCCTGGGTCTCAGGTGGGCTTTCCTCTTGAGGACTGCATTTCTCCTGCCGAGCAGCAGGGGGAGCTCCAGGCCTGAGGACCTTCTAGAAAAGACGTTCACAGTGGAAAGGGCCCTGGATTGGTGATGCCACTGAGAGAGCAGGCCAGCATGTCTCTCCTATCTCAGCCGAAAGATTTCCCTTTTCCATTTTGCCAAGGCACCCCTCCTTGCAGTTATTTGTTTTTGAGGGTTTAGCCACTGGGGTTCCAGCATAATGCAGAGCATCTGAGACTCCTCAAGCCCTTGGTCCCATGCTGTTGGTTTTTGGTGCCATTGAATAGTGATCCCATGAACAGATCTGAACACTGTCCTGTCCTGTGCCATCCTCATCGTCGGTGACACACTCAAGCCCATGACCACAGTCACAGTGTCAATCCCTCTCAATGGGCATCTTTCTTGCACTGACTTTTCCAAGAACGATGTCCCTTTCCAAGGAATGGCTCTTCCTACCCGCACACCCAAGGTATGTGAGATAAAGTTTTGTCTCCTTGCCTCCAAGGAGCACTCTGGCTGCACCTTCTCCAAAATGTGTCTGTTCTTTTGGCAGCTCACAGGATAGTCAGTGCTCTTCTCCAACACCACAGCTCAAAGGCATCGATTCTCCTGTCATCCTTCATTGTCCAGGTCTCAGACAGGACTAGAGGACAAGAAATACCACCAAGAGGGAACAGAGTCAACCATGTGAGATCAAAAGGGCAACATGGACCCAAGGACAAAGCTGCCTGGTGGGATGGAAGAGGCCTGGTTGAGGGAGACACAGGCAGGGAGTGGGTGTGGCTGCAATGGAAACCAATTTGCTTCATAAACTTTCACCCAAGCCACAACTAAAAAAATCCTCCTTTCTTGCACACTCATGTTTATCGCGGCTTTGTTCATGATAGCAAGGAGTTGGAAACAACCTAAGTGCCCATCAACAAATGAATGGATAGAGAAGCTGTGGTATATTCACACAATGGAATACTATGTTGCATTGAAAAACAAGGAACTCATGCATTATTATTAAAATTGGTGACGCTGGAGGACATTATGTTGAGTGAAGTATCTCAGTCATAAAGGGACAAATACTGCATAATGCCACTGTTGTAAAACAGGACTGACCTCGGGGTTGGGGGGAGACTTGAGAAAGATGTGATAAATAATATATACTGCATTGAAATAGATGAGGGAGAAAACTGATTAAAAGGGATATCTGATATTGTCATGATAGGAGTCCAGAGCGAAGGCTGCATAGTGGAGTGGACCTGGGGGAGGGATTGTAAAACAATGTGGGAACTTTTACTTTTCAAGAAGAGTGTACCGGTGGGAGGGAGGGGTCGGCAGAGAAAAAAGTACAACAATGAATGAAAATCCAAAGTCTGTAAATTTTCATTAAAATTAATAAAGTTATTAATAAAAAAAGACACAAAAGCCCCCTTATTCTTAAATATATTAACCCAGCATTGTGGGGTTTTTCCTATTGGAATAGGAGGGCCTTTTAAATAGGCTGTTGTTTGGCGCCCTGAGCTGATTGACCCACACTGACCCCAGGTCCAAAGCACCACCCACTCCTGGGCCATGCTGTCTCTGCTGTGCACAGGCCTGTGGATGGAGTCTCTGTGCAACAGCGCACAGGAGCGAGCAGGCGAGCATACACCTTGAATGTGAAACTGAACACACCATGTTTCTAGCACCCAGCTCTTGCAAATGCTCACCTTCCACCACTTTCCTGACTTCCAGCACCATCAGTCAGTTAGCTTCCAAGTACATTCTCTTTTTGTCCTCAGATTAATAGAGCACAAGAGAGTCTATTTCTAGTATGAATACTCAGAAGCCTTGACAAATACTCATCTGAGCGATGTGGACACTCAAGACAGGGATCACGACCACAGCTGTCTGCTCCTTCCTGGAGTCTAACTCGAGTAGCTTCTCGGGTACTGTATGGCCTGGTGTCAGCGGCTTGTGTACAGCCCCCCGGCAGCCGGTCTCATGTTGCTGGCGGGCTGATTATGGATCTACTTTATTAAAACAGTACACACACACACACACACACACACACCCCACCCGGGATAAAGCTCCGAAGGCGGGAGAGGATGGAAGGATGCGTGCAAAGAACCACAGAGAGCGGGAAGAGTGATGACCCAATGTGGGGATCACAATCGGTGTCCTAAAGCCTGACTGCGTGAAGGCAACACCACACTGCTCTCAACTGTCACTCAAGTGACAGTAACAATTACTGCAAACAGTGTTTCTCACTTCTAGCCATGTGCACATGCGTCATCTATGTACATGTCCACCGCAAATACTGCAGTTATTTGGATCCACAATTAATGCCCATGGAAGTAGCAGTCAAGAAATTAAAGCAATTCAATAGCACTGGACAGATCTACTGCCAAGAATCTCTTGCTAAAGATCCGAGTGTCGAGCAAGGATGCCACTTTAAAGACTAATGTGCGCACACCTCAAGTCATGATGTTTTCAATGGCTTCAATATGCACGTAAAAGTTGAACAGCGCATCAGGACGACTGAGGACTGCTGCCTCTGGATTAGGGTGTTGGCTGCCAGACCAAATGTGTGTTAGCAGTGCAGCCAGAGTGCTCCTTAGGGGAAGATGGAGGGACTCTGAGGGGCCAGGGGTGTGTATCGGCGGGCTGACCCCGGACATGAGCATCAGGCTTGATAAAGCAGAGGGTCAGCACAAGAGCCCCAGAGAACTGGACAGAGCAGCTCCAACACTACTGATGTGAGGGTGGGGCAGGATGGCGTGGGGGTCCACTCTGTCATAGTGGGCTCACCAGAGGTCCGAACCGAATGGACAACATCAAAGAAGAGGCTGAGTCCTCTGACTCCCAGAAGACCACACCACACTGTGTGTCTCACTTCTGAGACCAAAATTGTCACAGTGAGATGGTTCCTGTTACCATCACATCCTTCAAAATGAATAAAGGACTCAGAGAATTTCCCATCATGTGCCGGGGGGAAGCCTCCTGATTCAGGGAAGAAAGGCTGGGGCCCAGGAGGCCAACACACCCAATCTTCCTGGACCAGCAGACACCTGAATCTCCAGCCCAGGTGGGACAAGGTGCCTGTAGGGACTGTCCAGAGAGATGACAGAACTGCTTTCCATCACCTGTGCTGATGGTGGCAGAAACCATGGCAGCTCCTGTTCGTCCCAGGTTTTCAACACGCATCCCCTCGAGGTGAGCAGGTTGTTTAGAAAAAAATTTATTTGAACACGTGAAAGGAAAACGTAGAGATCTCCGTAAAACCTAGAAGTTCCTTTCTGAGGTGACTGCCTGGGGCTGTGCTCACGCCATCTCCACGCAGCAGCTTTGAGCTCACAGAGCTGTGTAAGAGCCTGTCAGCAGGGCAGGGACGTGCGCCGCTCCCAGGAAGGCGGCCGGGGCCATTCTGCTTCACTGGGCAGGGAGGCCGCACAGGCAGCCGCACGCAGGCTGCAGAGGGGCGGACAGTGACAGATGCCAGTGTCACTGTGCAGGGTCACGCCCCACCTTCCACCCTCCAATCTGGATCTGTAAGAGCAGGACCAGGCAGGGCGCCTGGGCCTGATGACTCGGAACTTCCACTGCAAACTGGCCGGCGAGGAGGGCTGCAGGGTCGTCGCTCCGAGGTCCTTCTCCGTGGGACTGCCATTCCTTCCTTGGGGGGCCGCTCTCGACCCGGGCACAGAAGGCACACTGCCACTCAGCGGCACCTAAAGCCGGCCTAGCGGATGGGCCTGAAGGGGAAGGGCATGCCTGAGATGAAGGGGTGCCCGGGGTGCGCTGGCAGGGCGGGGTGGGCCGGTACAGGCCCATAGCCCAGCGGAGGGGTGTGGATGTGAGGGTAGAAGCCAGGCGGCAGCGCTGTGTGGGGAGACTGCTGCACGGGACCCGAGATCACCAGCTGGAGGAGGCTGCAGAGAGAGGAAGTGGAATCAGGTCAGTCTGGGCTGAAGCTCAGAGCTTTCCAAGCCTGCCCTGGGGGCTGCCCACTCTGTTCCTGGACGTGGAGCACAGCCACCAAATCAGAGCCTCAGTGACACCAAGGGGGCATGATGGAGCCTCCGAGGCCCAGGACGACAGGTTCTCAGTGGAGACTGCAGAGAGCAGGGGGCCCTGGAGGTGGCCTTGCAGGACTTAGATGGACCCGGGTGAAGGGAAAGGCTAGGGAGACGCTGGAGTCATACAACAGCGCAGGTCTGGGGAGCAGCAGTGTCGGGGCCTCGCGGGGGCTGTGGGACAGCCTCTGCACTTTGGCAGGTATGTTCTACAGGCCTGCAGCCCACACCCACCCACGGGCCCCTGCCATGGCCTCCCCAGGCCTTCCACCCGGGGCTGCCTCCATGCTGACCAGGCATCCTCTCCTCAAAGCCCCTTCCTGACAAGTGCTGACCCCTCTGGAAGGCGGCCTTGAGAAGACGCTGGGATCAGAGCTCTGAGTGAGTGTGTGTCCACGCCCTTGCTTACCTGCCACACCCCGCCACTTGGGCCTCGAAACTCTCCTACTCCCTTGATTCTTCATTCCAGGGGTGCCCCCGCCCCGAGCCCTCAGGCCTTGCTGTCACATCAACACCTGTTCCCTCTCAACCCCTTTCATCCAGGGGTCCCACATGGCCACCCCAGGCCCCAGAGCCTGCTCTTCCCATCTGCCTTCTCTCTGGCCAGGCTATCAGAGGCCCCACCCCAGGGCTGTCCACTCACTCCAGCCCTTGTGATCCCACGCCACAGCAAAGGGCCCGTCGCGCTCCTGTCATTACAGAAGCAGCTCTTAGCCTTCTCCTGTGGGGCGGGGGCAGGCAACGGAGGTTCAGTGGTACGGCCCCGCCTGGGGTGCAGGGGCCTGGGTCTCTGGCCAGGGCACCTCGCCAGCCACTAGCAGGGCTTGCGTGTTGCTGTGATGCCAAACAGCTTCCGGACTAAGACAGACTAAGAAGAAAAGTCTGGTGATCTACTTCGGAAAATATCAGCCATTCACAATTAAAAATGCTGACTGCCCAGTGACCACATTCAGAGGGCAGGAAAGGTTGAAAAAGGAGAAAAGGAAATGAGAAATACAGTGAGGAAATGGGAAGAGTGCTGTTGATGACAATGTGTGTCAGCTAATTAGACACGTATAAATCTTGAACAGAAAACAGACCTGCCCCATAAACCTTCCCTCTATTTAGTTAAACAGTTAAAACCTCAGATCATAAAAGCCTGATCCCCTGGGGTCAGGAGGGGTGAGGGGGTGACTCAGCCACTAACAACACTGGAAAGTGTGTGGTGACAGAATTTCAATCCAGGTCCTTCCACCCCAATGGACACTGCCTACTTGGTGCCCACACCTGTCGCTGCTGCCAACCCCAAGTTGTTCCCCTTCCAGAATCCTCAGAGTTGGCCCTGGGCAGCCTCTGGCTGACCTGCTGGCCTTGGCGACTGCTGAGTCTGTGGGGGCCAGGTCGCTCCCCTGCTGCCCACCCAGCCCTGGATCTCCAGCACTCTTCACAGAAGGCCGGCGTGATGTTGAAGAATGGATGCGGCTGAAGTGTGGGGCTAATAACTGAAAGGCAGGTGGTTCAAATCCACCAGCTCTAGTCCTAAAAGATGACCAAAACCAAACCCGCTGCCGGCGAGTCTGTTCCAACTCAGAGACCCTGCAGGACAGCAGAACTGCCCCACAGCGTCTCTGCGGCCGCCAGTGTTTAAAGAGATAGTCAGCTTCATCTTTTAGCCTTAGAGCAGCTAGTGGGTTTGAACTGCCAACCTTTTGGTTAGCAGCCAAGTACTTTAATCACCGTGCTACCAGGCCCCCCGCTGTAAGGATTACATCCTTGATGCCACGGGCAGTTCACTGTCACATGACTTAGCTGAGCTGGAAGTGACTGACAACACTGTTCTCCTTCCTGCAGGCCCCACCCTTAGTGGTCCACCTCTGCCTTTAGCCACACAAGCATTTCCTGACCTGTCAATCACAACGGTTACTTTCAGTGGACATCCTCTGATGGAGTTTACAAGGAACTTGCACTAGGAGCCTGTGTGGCCCAGTGGAGTGTGAGAGGCTGCCAGCCTAAAGGCTGGAGGTTCACACCCATGCAGCAGCTCCACAGAAGGTGCGGTGTCTGGGTAAAGAGGACAGCCTAAGAAACTGTAATACACGGGGTGCCGTGAGCTGGGACCGACTCCATGGCAACGGAGGTGACGCTCAGCTGCCTCAAAGGGCTTGGTTTGCTTTTAACGCGGTGTTTGCAGGAAACACTTTCATGCACACAGCCTCCTGCTCTTTTCTGAGGGTCTCAAGTACAATTTAAGCTACTAAGCAGCCGTTGCCGTGACAGCACTGAACACTTGGGAGACTCTTACTGTCCTCCTGGAATGCGCCCTGGTGGCACAGTGACCCTCAGCTGCTTCTAGAAGGTTAACAGTTCAAACCCAGCGGCCACTTTCTGGGAGAAGGACGTGGCAGTTCTGGCTCCGTACATTTTACGACGCTGGAAACCTGAGCGCGCAGCTCCACTCTCTCCTCTGACATCACCACGATCAACAGCGGTTCTGGTCCTGGCTTAGTGCGGGTCTGAAAGCCTTGGTTCTGTGGCGAAGGCATTCAGATGCTACAAAAGGTCAGTAGTTCAAATCCACCCTCTGCTCCATAGGAGAAAGGTGTGGCAGCCTCCATCTCTATGGAATACAGCCCTGGCGAGGTTTCAGGCCCGCCTTAAATCACTGTAAATAACAAGAGACTTGCACACAGAACACGGGCCCTTGATGTGATACCAGGTGCCCAGTTACTACCGCCGGGTGCCTTGCCCAGGCTCTGAGGCATCTTCCACGGGGTCCCAGCCATGCCATCAGCAGGCAATGTCCCACGTAACGAGTACATCCCAGAAAAGCAAACAAATCGGTCCTGGCAGAAGTGCAGAGCGCCCGTCAGATGCAAAGGGGGAGTGCTTATGGACTCTGGCCTTGTTCTCAGGAGGGTCCCTGCAGAAGGACCTCCTTGTACAAGTGAGTAGATAAGAGGAAGGCCCTCAGCGAGGGGGACGCACACACAGTGGCTGCAACAGTGGCTCCAGCAACGATTGGGGGACGGCACAGGACCACTCACTGCAAGCCAGAACAGACTGAGCCACACAGAGCACCAACTCGGTACACTGTAGACGATGCATGGAGTGTCACCCACGTCTACTGACTCCTGGCAAGACGGTCCCCAGTCCACACAGACTCTACGTAGAGCTCCTCTCGTGGGCTGTCCCATCATCCCTGAGTCCACGCATTACCACTTCCCTAAGGGCTCCTTACAGACACTCAACCTTGCAGACCAATCTTCCCAGTGACCAGGGACAAGGAGGCTACCTGCCCCCGGCACGTCTAGCCCCTAGGACACTTACTTATTGTGGGGCAGCCTGGAGCACAAGGTCCTCAGGTCATCTGAAATGAATGAGACACCGTTAGGGTTGCCTGGAGACGAGGAAGGGCCGGTCATGCTCTCAAGGACTCGGGTTGATCAAACCAGGCCTCAAATGGGGTCAGACCCTTAGGAAAGGGGTATCCCTCTGACAGTGTGCAGACAGCTGGAACCCGGTCCAGCGCGTGGGCATTCCACTGATGGACTGGCGTGGGTAGGGGTGCAGTGGACTGCCCACCAGAGCTTCTGGAGTTCAGAGCTTGTACTTAAGAAAACAAAAAACCCCCCAAGCACACTGTGGTCTAGCTGGTCCTACTCCAAGGAGCCTCGGAGGACTGCCCCCGGGGACCCCATAGCCGTGACTCTTCGTGGGAGCAGGCTGCCACCTCTTTTCCCATGGAGGTGCTGCTAGGTTTAAAGGGAACAGACCACCTCCTCTTCCTCCCTCAGACCACCTGGTGGATTTGATCTGCTGACCAATATGGCCACCCGGGCTCCAGGACCAAGACAAGCAGTCCTAGAGCAGGGAGGGGCAGGAGCCAGGCTGGGGGGGAGCAGGGCCAGGTGGCCCAGGCCGGCACCCACCTCGCGTGCACAGCAGCGCGCCCGAGGCCATGGCCACCTGCAGTGCCTGGGCCAGCCGGTCCAGGGCCAGCTCAATCTCCTGGGAGGCGTTGAGGGGGTTCAGCTCGTCTGCCAGCCGGTTGATCTCCTCGACCAGCGGGACCATATGGTCGAAGGGGACGAGGCCCAGGCGTCCGTACAGGTTCTTCTCAGTCAGGTGGCCCTGAAGGACCATGAGGACTTGCAGGACACTAAGATGTAGCTTGGAGTACAAGAGGTGTGGGTCCCTGTCCAGGCTCGAGGCCACGTCCTTGGTCACCTTGTTACTGAGGTGGCCGTTGGTGAGCGCGGGCCTTTTCTTCCTCTTGTAAGCCAGAGGCGCCTTCACGCACCAGCGGATCAGTCCCGTGAGCGGCGTGAGCTCCAGGAAGCCAATGGGCAGGTTGGCGGCGATGGGCGTGTTTAAGAAGGTAATGAGAATCAACCGCGGGTCCTCTGCGACCCAGTGGACGATCATCTCGAGCAGGTCCAGCGGGGGGATGAGCTCGTCTGCAAACAAAGACCCCCCAGTCAGAGTGGGCGGGCGGGGCCAACACTGCCCATCACACAGTTCAGGAAAAAACGCGTCTTCCTTCCCGGGGAAGGGATAAAAAGGAGACCCTGTTTACCTGCGCGTCACCAAGTCAGAGCTGACCCACAGCTGACCCTCCGGCAGGTTTGCAGAGGCAGTAAACTGCACAGGAGAAGATGGCCCATCTTTCTCCCAGGGAGCAGCCGGTGGATTTGAACCACGTGCCTTAGGGAAGGCAGCAGAGCTTACCACTGGGCCACCAGAGCTCCCTGTATGTACATCTATCTCTTCTGTTTACAAACTCAGCGTTCCAGACGACCACACACTGAGCTAGTCTACGGGCACCATTTTTCCAAGAGCAAGTTCTCTGTCATGTTCTGGGGTCAGAGTTTCCTTACAGCATTTCCCAATGCCTTCCTGACGCTCTCACAAATGTTACAGACTACAGCATGGTGTCAGCGTAACTTCCTGGGTATACCAGGGAAACCAAAAGGTCACGTGACGTGCTATCGTAAGGTGCTTGTAATATAGATGAGCCAAGCCCATAATTATCTTGGAGGTCTACTCATGTGGCAAACTGCTAATGACGGGTAAACCTGGGTGAGAGCGGAAGAATGTAACTGTATTCTTCTCACACATTTTCTGATTCTTTACAAAATAAAAACTGGAGGACAGCCTATGCTGGGGGGATCCAGCTGCCAAAATGGAAAATAAAACAAAACAAAATGGGACCTAGAGGACAAGCAAGCAACCCACGTGTCTTGGGGGAAAGCCTCAAACAGCAGGGCTTGGGCACGAAGCCACAGCTGACGGAGACACCAGATCCAGGCTCTGGGGCTGCCTGCCCTCCTGCTGTGCGGAGCTGGGGTACCTCTACAGAGAAGCTCCCTTTCAGGAAGCTGGAGAAGGCCAGAGAGTCCACCCACACCTTCAGCTGAAATAAAACCCACTCATATCCGACAGGAAAAGGCCAAAGCTTTGGTGAACAGTTCATCGGGTATGAAAAGGTGGTTGGTCAGCTGAAGCCTCTAATGACCACTTGTCTATAACGCTTACCTGAGTTCAGGTCATAAAGCGCGGTGACAGATGTCACAAACTGGCAGCAGAAGCGAGGGCTGGCACTGAAGGTCTGCGTGAGCGTCTGTGCGGATCCCGGCACCAGGCAGCAGTAGTCGTCTACCAGCGTCCTGGCCAGCCTCACGCAGTAGACCACGGGCGTCCGCTGGAAAGAAGCCACAGCCCACATCACCAATGGCAACCAGGGACTGTGGAGGGAGCCCACCAGAGCTGACAGAGTCCTTTCCACGAGGAGGCAAGGTGTGGACTGCTTACTATAATGCAGGGGGTGGCAACCAAAAAGCCAAAGGGGTTCTACCACTCGGCTTTATAAATAAAGTTTTACTGACACAGCCACGCTCACTGCCTTGGGGCTGCTCTGCCGTGGCACCTATCAGACTCAGACGTCTGCTGTCTGAGTGCTTTACAGAAATCCTGCCAGCCTCAGCTTTCACGCTTCCTTAGGAAACAGCACTCCCCACGTTGACAACTTCTCCAATTTTATGGAATCCCAAGCCAAACTCCAGAGGTAACGACATTGAGGACACTGAGGGGCGCCTGTGAAGGGTCACGGGATTAACACGCTTGTTTAGTGCCCAGTCCCGGCTGTCCAGTCAGTTCGACATCTGGCTACAGGGATCCTGCAGGACAGAGCAGAGCTACTGACAGGTTTCCAACCCTCACACTGCCTCAACTCTCTAGCTTGCAGCAGCTGGTGGATTCAAACCGCTGACCTTTTGGATCTTTTCGTTGCAGCTTAACACTAAATTCCTGTCACTACTCCGTTCTCCTCAGCAGGGTCCTGTGAAACGTTGGAGTCCAGCACTGGCACCCTTCCCTGCCTTCTTCCTTCCTGCTGGTCTGCAATCCCTAGTGACTGTCACATCCACAGCTGCTCAGGATGCAGCCCCTCCAGCGGCCCAACCTGGCCCTGCAGGAAGAATGGCAGGAGGCAGCAAGGCCAGGCTGTCACCTGCCCCCAGTGTCACAGCACCATCAACGACTGACCACTCCCCTTCTCAGCAGGAAGCTCACCCTGGGGTGGTGAACCCCAGAGCACTAGACCCTCTCCTGTCACTGACATCAGCTTTCATGCACCCAAAATACCAGCGCAATCACACCACAGGAGGGTAACAGGAGAACTCAGAGGAGAAAAAGGAAACGCTAGGGGGGTTTCGCCCAGGCTGTCAGGGAATGAAGACCATCCTGATGAAAGACAAGCAGGCACAGCCCCGCGCTGCCAAGTCGGCTCCGCGCTGCCAAGTCGGCTCCGACCCGCAGTGACCCCCCAGGACACACCCGTCCCCGCGGCTTACGAGGCTGTCCTTTCCAGGATACTGAGAAGTCTTTTCTCCTCTAGAGCAGCTGGTGGGTTCAAACCACTGACTTTTCAGCATGCAGCTGGGTGATTAACCACTGTGCCAAACGAGCCTCCTACTGACACCCTGTGACGTTAAACAGCGTCATAAACCGACCCACCCGCTCACTGCTGGCCTGCACGGGAAACAGTCCTAACAGGCGTTCGCCCACTACTCTCGACTCAGTCCTGACTCAGCACTTTCCGCTGGAGTCTGAGGCTCTAAATCACAACGGGCGGAGACCGCTCCTATGCTCCCTCGGAGCTGCCGGTGGATTCGAACCGCTGGAGATGAGCAGTCGTTGGGTCAGCAGCACAGCTCCCTACAGACTATGCCACCAGAACTCCCCTGTAAATTGACACATAATGCTCTCTAAGGGAAAAACCCCTGTCGTTGAAGCACTGAAGAGGGAGCTCCTGGAACAGACGTCTCTGAACTGCGGTGCTGATGGAGTGCTGACTAGACTACAGGCTCGCAGGAGGAACCCGTCTGGCTCAGAAGCAGTGCAGGCAGAGCGCTCCCTGGAGCCGAAGACGGTGACACTTCATCTCACGTCCTTCGGGCAGGCTGTCAGGAGAGGCTAGTGTTTGGGCAAGGGCATCATGCTGGGAACGTGGAGGGTCCCTGAAGAGAGGCAGACTCTCACTGAGGCGGCCTGACACAGAGGTTGTGGCAAGGGGCCCAAGCACAGCAGACTGAGGCCAGCGCAGGGTAAGGAGACTTCATTTCTGTTATACGCGGGGTCACGGTGAGTGTGGGCCGGCCAAGCACAACCTCACACCAACAACCCTCATGGCGGGGGCACAGATGTACTCAAAATCCTACTGCATAATTTCTGTTGTTGTTGTTGTTGACTGCCATCAAGTCAAGTGCGACTCATAGCGACTCTATGAACAAAAGAACTAATGCCTTTCCATTACTATCATCATTTCTCCAAGTTTGTGGAGTTTCCAGAGGCATGTGGTTTAGGAAGTGGATGCCACTCCTGCTTCCAAACCTCTTTTAGACCTGGGTGCTCCACCAAATACTTTCCACATTGGGAAACCATTCTGGTATTTGATACCCCAATGGCACAAGGTTCAGCATCACAGCAAACCCAGGTTACTTCATACAGCCCACTGACAAAGTTACTTCATACAGCACATTGACAAAGTGATGTACAAAGCAGAAGAGTGTTCCTCCAGACAGAACAGTAGTCTCATTCAGCAGTGGTTAAGTGTTGTCACGTCAAATAAGACTAAGAGTAAGCTTTGCACAAAAGATCTGAACTCTGTTCTAGAACTCTATTCTGTAACTAACATCATTTCTGTGCATTTAGAGTTTAGAGAGTTTCTAGAGTTTAGAGTTTGTAGACCAAACAAAAAAAAAGTTGCACTTGGTAAAAGGGAAGACTAGACCTTTGACAATTACAACCCACCATCTCCAAGAACAGCCACTGCCTGTATATAATGGTGTGACGCTGCAGCGGGTTAAGTGTTGGGTTACTAAGCAAAAAATCAGCAGTTCAAAGCCATGGCTGCTTTATGGGAGAAAAATGAGACAGCCGGCTTCTCTAAAGACAGCCTCCGAAGTCTTACATGCGGTCCTGTTCTGTCCCACAGTCTCTGGACTGGGATTGACTAGGTGGCTGTGGGTGCACAGAAACGAGGCTGTGGAACAGACGAATTTACAGGCCAGTGATGATCAAAGAGGAAACACATGTGGAAAGGCCTCGTTAGAAATCTAATCAAATGATAATTCCCGACAACGAGTCCTTCCTCAGAGGCTCCTTGGGAGTTCTCTCTAGAAAAGTACCTGGAGCTAGAAGTTTCTGGGTGGTGTAGACAGTCAACATGCTCAGCTGCTGACCCAAAGGATAGAGGTTCAAGCCCACCCAGAAGCGTCCGCAAGGCCTGGCTATCTACTTGTAAAAAGCCAGGCGTGGAGCTCAGTTTTACTCTGACACAAGGGCTCATGGGGGTCAGAACTGACCAGACGGCGACCGGTGGGTGGTTTTACCTGGAGCCAGGAGGCGGCACACTCCAGGACCGGGACACGGCACACCGCCACGGCCATGGAGACCAGCTTCCCCAGCAGGCTCATCCGGCTGTCATCAGCTTTGTTCCCCTGGGGACTGAAAAGGGAGGAGAAGATGATCTGCCGGACCGAGTCCTTGGTTTGCTCCTGGAAGTAATTGCACATGATTTCGAGAAGCTGAAGCTCCTGGAGTGAATTCAGTCTCTGCAAAACAGATGCCGGAGAGGTTATAAGAAACGTGCCTTTTATGATCTCAGACAGCAGGAAGACAGGACATGCGTTCTTCTCTCCAGCCTTCCACTATTATCCCAAAGGCAAGTGGTTCCACCACACGCTCCCTGCAAGAAGGACGGACAACTTCCTTCCGTGCCTCTGAAAACCCTGAGGAGGTCAGTTATCGGTCAGTTCTGACTCGGAAGCACCCAACAACAGACACCATCCTGAGGGCCTCAGGATGACCCACATGGTTTGGGACACTTGCTACCACAGCCCACACTTGATATCGACTCCCAGCGACCAGGTGGGACAGACCAGAGCCGCCCCGCAGATTTCCAAGGCGGTAAATCCTTGCGGGAGAAGACTGCCACCTCTTTGTCCCCTAGAGCTGCTGGTGGCTTCGAACTGCCCAACGGTTAGTTAACCCACTGCACCACCAGGGAGAGCTGTGAGTGGTCAGTGCCTGCAGCTTCTTCCTCTTTAGCGCCACGGAGACGGGGCTGCCAGCTCGCTGCAACGGGAGGCTGAGCAACGCGGGTCCAGAGAGGAGGCCGAGCAGGTGGTCAAGGCCAGAGGGCGCCCCGCACGCAGATCTTTCTGGATTGGCAACTATCTGTCACCCTGGGGGCCAGCGGGGGCTGGGGGAAGCGTGGCCCGGCGGTCACCGGCCGCGAAGGGCCGAGGGCCCCGCTGCCCGTCGCACCTTGGGCTGCGCGCCGCGCTCCTTGGGCACCTGGAACACGAACTCCTCCAGCAGCTCCACGGGGCCCTTGTCCACGATGGGCAGCGGCGCGCTCTGCAGCTGGCTGCTGAAGTAGATGTCCAGGTGGTACAGCACCTCCTTGGCGGCGCTCAGCGCGTCGCGCCGCAGCAGCGAGTGGCGGATGTCGCTCATGGTGCCGCCGCCCCCGCCGCCCGGAGCC